TGTAAAAATATTGTCCGTAGGGACCAGAGCATGGTTCCCAAAATTGTTTTACTAATAATTTTCAGGTTTTCAGGTTTGTATTTAGTGTCTTTTTTCTTGCATCTGTGTAAAATATTTAATCTTTGTAATATATTCACAGTAACTGCAATTGTTCATTAATTATGCCAAAAAAATAAGCATTACATTTTCACGATTTGAAAAATGTATTGAATAATATTTTCTTAATCGATGTAAAGCTGCAGAAATTGATTGATCGCAACTATACGTTCCGTAAGATCTTCGCTAAGCGAATTAGAAAAATTGACCTCAGTTAAAAAAATTAAAATAAATAATCTTGTACTTGTATCACCGACATGCTAATTGACGAATAAATAAATCATATGCAAGAAGCAGTTTGTGCAGTGGATTAAACTATTTTTAAGTAAAACCACGGTGTTATAAATTCTTCTAAAACATACATAAAAGATTAATCGACCATTCCATAGGGTTTATCTTTCGGAAAAAACACTCCCGAAATGAATTTGTCCGTCCAAGTCCGGCCGGCGAAATATGTCATTTTCCCATTCACAATCTCGTATAATATAGACTTACTATATTCGGTCATTTGTGGCGAATACTCACGATCGTTTGTCATTTTTAATATAAAGTATATTACCTACAAATTAAAAGGAAACCACACAAACGAGGACTCCAAACACTTTCATACTACATAATATAAATTACGTTTAACGATTTCATCGATAACGATATTTGAACAATGGTATCGAAGGTGTTTCGATATAATAAAACACGTTTTTAATTTAAATGTACACATTTGCCTTGATTTGCTAATTATGTTTATTTTTTTAACGAATACGTTTCACAAATTAATTGATTACAGATACACAGAGATAACAGAATTTCAAATTATTTGAATAACACTTATTGCTTGAATGGGCGATTGCTCTTTAATTAAATAGATTTTCTTATCAAAATAAATATTGTAAATAATTTTTTTTTTTTTTTTTTTATTGATGAAGCCACAACTACAATGGTTATTGGCTTTTTAATCTAAAGTTATATTTACATGTTAAAGGGAGGTACAACTGAATACATAAAGAGTTATATTAAATTAAATTGTACATTTTTGTTAATTTTAAAAATTTAAAAATTTTGTAAACATTTTCTGGGTCTGGACTTAGTGCTTGCTGGAGGTTGTCGGATATTTCTAGACTGTCCTTGATGTCTCTGTATTTTAGGCAGTTGCAAATTACGTGTTTGACTGTGAGAGTTACTTCACAGGTAGGGCATAGAGCAGGAACCGTTCTGTTCATGAGGTGTCCGTGGGTCAACCATGTGTGGCCAATTCTTAATCTGTTGAGGATTACTTCTTGCCTACGAGGTAAAGATGTAACTGGCCATGGATATATTGACGGTGTTATCTCATTAAGTTTGGTGTGCATTGTTTGCCATATCTGTTGCCATTGATTTGTTATAAATTTGTTAATTATGTTTTTGCTGTCTTGTAGGGTATGGATATTAATTTGATGTGCATCAGGAGAGGTAATGGCTTGTTTGGCGTATGTGTCTGCTAATTCATTTCCTTGGATTCCAACATGGCTTGGGATCCAAATCATAGTGATTGATTGAGATTGGAGTTCTAAAGACGATATTTGATTTTGGATCTTTCTGCTAATGTCGTTAGGTTGAAGATAGTTTTGAATGTTGGTTAAGGTGCTTAGAGAGTCACTGAGTATGATGGATTTAGTTATTTTATTTTGTTCAATGATATCGAGTGAGTGAGAAATTGTAATGGCTTCAGCAGAAAAAATTGTACATGAGTTAGGAATCTTGATCATTATTTTACTCTCTTTGTATATCACAGAGGCTCCTACTCCTTCGTCCGTTTTCGACCCATCTGTGAAAAAAATTGTGTATTCTTTGTAGTCTTCGAGCAATGATTGTAGTTCACTGTTATACGTTTTTGGTAGAGTTTTGCTTTTGGGTAGGTCTGATATTGAAAGATTTACATCTATGTTTAAGATCCATGGGGGGACTATTAGGTTTTCGTGTTTAATGACTCCGGATGGGTCGATGGATATATGTAGAAGTTCGTCTTTGATGATTCGGTGTGTCTTGATATTATTTTGGATTAGCCTTATATAAAAGAGCATAGTATTTTTTTTTCTTATTAGGTGTATTGGAGGGGTATTGGTGATGTTATATAAGCTGGAGGTGGGACTGGATCTGAATGCTCCAGAAACTAACCTTAATCCGGAATTGTGTATCGTTTCAATGATTTTGAGATGTGATAGTTTGGCATTTATGAAGAGGAAGGAACCGTATTCAAGCTTGGATAGTATGAGGGATTTGTAGATCTGTTTGAGGGAAAGTGAGTTAGCTCCCCATGAGGTATGTGCAAGTGCCTTGAGGGTGTTAATTCTTATAGCGGACATTGTTACAATTCCTATATCAATATAACGTGTATCCAAGACTAACAACCTTAGATGTTGTAGCTTATCTTTCTTTTTAATAATAGAAAAAGAAACATAAAAGTAACCAATAACTTGTAGTGAAAATGTGATATATCATAAAAATTGTTCTGAAAAATATTTATTAGTTTAAATAAAATATATAAAATGTATTGAATACATTATCATTAGATTCTTTTTTCATTTTTAAATCTATTCAATATATTTATTATCATACAATAAATAACTGTGGGTGGAAATGGAGTATTTTAACGTAATATGGGTCTCAAGACATTTTAAATAAAAGATCAAGCCACAATCACTCAGAATATTGTGAATTAGAAATATCTACACACTATAATAGTTACCCGAAGAAAAGGACATGCATTTAAGAGGATAAGCGTTCTTCAACACTGTATATGTGGTGTATGTATGTTTTTAGAGTGGCCATAAAAACCAGTACTGTAGTAAAGGCAGAAACAATGAAAACTAAATTGAAATTTTCGAAAGAGATTTAGATTTAAAATAAAAAACCTATAGTGTATTAGGAATATAGGTATATTACCTAATACATTTTTGAAATTATTTTAATACAACTTTAGTTATAGTAAGAAAAATACTGATAGAGCTTTTTTTAACAATTTGGCACTTGGTTTCCATAACTTATTTTCCACGCATTCAGAAAATATAATCTTTTAGCTTTTAAGACTCATTAAGATTTAGACGATTACAAACGCACGTAATTCAAATAATACATTTTTGTATGTTATTGATATTAATTAATTTATAATAGAACATAATAAATAATCAGTCATAATAGTGATTTTTTTTACTTAAATATATTTATAATATTTGATAATTACATTACTGCAAATATAAAAAAAAAAATTTTATACTTAACAAAATTATAAAATTTTAATCATGATATTTGTTCGTGTACATGTTAAATAATTGCTTATTTGATACCAAATTAGCTTAAAAATTAAGAGAAAAAATAAAATAATTCATCATACATTTTTGTGTAATCTTATGATTATATTTGAATAACTCTTGCTAGATTAAATCAATGTTTATAAAAAAAGGTCTGATTAATTAAGTCTTTTGTAAATAATCTTACAAAAATGACTTCGAAATCATTTAAGATTTTTATGAAACATTTTTATCTTACTATTCCATAAATTTTATAATAATTATAACCTAATAATAATGGGGGACCGCTAACATTTCTGAAAATTAGTTGAGATACTTCGTCTCAATCCTCTGCGTCCTCCCTCAAATCTAGTATTGTATATCAAGCAATTATAAAAATTATATTTTTCTATAACAACTATGTATTAACATGTTTTCAAAAACCAAAAGAAAATTTAATTTCACTCTATAATTTTTAATTTAATTTCATATTTAATAATTTTTATTGTTTTTAAATAGGAAGTTATCTTTTTAATGTAATTACCTATTTTTTTTTTTAAATTTTTGGTTTAAAGTTTATTCCTTTACAGTGTTAAGAAATATTTTTGGTAAACGGTAATACTTAAAATATTATAGAATTATTGAGTTTTACTTATTACGTAATGTCCACAATTTTAACCCCCCCGTCCTAATAATTACTTTGGATCCGTGTCTGTGGTCAAATTAATAATCAACAATTATTATTCTTAATTAAATATACATTTTAGTCATTGCGCGCCGCATTTCTAGGGATTATCATTAATAAAACGTTTCTCTAGCACACACATGATAAAATCGGGTTTTATCGTGTTGGGGTGTTGTACAAAATTTTACAAAAAATGTACAAGATACCATCAAGGTTTGGTATTAAGAATCAAAAGTTACAGTGCTGGTGAAACGGACCTGATCGACCACGATTCAAAGAGTATGCGATTTACACCTGTCCTCGCGTCCCTCGTTAAATATCGCATTACTTTACTGGTACCGGATCCAGGCCAATTTAGAGGTCAAATGCCTATAGTGGCTGTGGCGTGCCGAAAGGGTTTTGAATACGCCTATAAATCATGGACCATGTTGAAATTTGGTACCACTAATCTTATACAGGTGTTAATACGTATATTAAATGCCTTGTATCGTATTGAAATATGCATTTATATTTTTATTTATATTGTAAAAATCGCAAAATATACATATCTAAAAAAATGAATCCAAAACGTATGACATTTTAAAGCATTTTAAAAGCGGTATTTTTATGAAAGACATGGGATGGGTCTTAAAATATGTTGTTCATAAACGTCCACTGCCTAAAGGACTAGAAGACCAGGTGGAGCAAATCGAGAGACGCTGAGGAAGGATAACCACATGAGGAAGGAAATTGTTTATCACGCCTAGAGGCAAGGGTATGATAAGTTGTAAAGCCTTGAGGGCGTGAATCGAGAAACACTGAAAATCGTTGTACTTAAAATGCATTGATTTTATTTTTATTGAACCTTACTGATAGGAAAAAAAAAAATCGAAAATTTCGAAGTTTGCCACGTATGCCGACGAAATGCCATGTTATTGTATGAATATAAGTATAAACTGTCTGATAAATTGTCTCACCTTGCGTGATGCTGCCGATCAGGGTGAATGGCACGCACACAACGATGACCAGCAAGTCGGCTACGGCCAGGTTGACGATGAATATGTTGGTGGGTGACGACTGCATCCTCACGTTCTTGTACACCACCAGCACCACGGACGTGTTGCCCACGAAACCCACCAGGAACACGGCCGAGTACGCGATGCAAAACAGCACGGTCACCTCGGCTGAATATTTCATCTGGTACTCCTGCCATGGCCAGCCATCCAGCCCGTACTCCCACAACACGTTGCTCCGGTTGTCGCCACCCGTGTCCCTGCGTACGCAAACGCGGTATTTTTTAAATTTTTTAATTTTTTTTTCTTTCTTCAAACGCCTAGCACGTTTGGACAAAGGCAACATAAACCGGATAACCAAACATTAATCTAACCGTTATCGTTTTAGTCGTCTCGACGAATGTTAATGCTATTGATAGTACGCCATTATACATCAGCAGGACCTTTAGACGATATCATTGTCTTTGACTGTATAAATGTTATAAAATTAATTATAATTTTTCATTTTTAGTTAAAAAAAAAAAAAAATAATAATAATCATCATTAAAACTAAATATCCACCAATCATATCAAGTTTGAAGTAGTGTCACTGGGCACTCTCTTCTATCATGACATCAAGCCTTGTACAAATAAAAAACCATCAAAATTACCTATTGTATATATTTACTGCAGATTGTATATTTTATCTTTTCTAATAAAAAAAAAAAAAATAATTTTGTCACGTATTAATTTGAAAATTTTGGTGCGAACGGTAGTTTTAATAAATACACGTGTTTGCAAAGAATACTGATCAATGTACACATGTTATTTGAAAAAAAAAAAGGATAACTTTGTTAAATACATTTTTGTTTTGTAGTTGTTTTTGAAGAAGTTAGGGAAGTTGGAGATGGTGTCGTTGGAGAAGTTACTTTTTGTCAGTTTTCAAATTACTTGTATACCACGTGTAATGACATTAATCTTTGAGAAAGCAATACGTTTGCTATCGACTCGTTACTTTTTTTAAAGAAAATGTTCCAAATTTGAATGAATACTTTCATTGAAATAGTCGATGTGTCTTGATTCGATTTAAAAATATAAAACTATTCTCAAAATATAAAGAAGAGAAAGAATACTCATTGATAACCAATTTTATTAATTTTACTAAGATTTAATTTAATTACAAATTAATGCATTTTTAAACTTAAAAAATAAATATATAAAAATTATTGTTATTACAATTATAAGAATTGCATAAACATATTTTAAGGTTAAAATCAGAATGTCCGAATGTACAATAAAAATATAACATTATTTGTTATAAAGTTTTCACAATAAAAAAAGAAGAATTCTATACATTTTAAACTATTTGTTATTAATTTTAGACCGCGATGCTCTTAGAAAGTACTCGCGAAGCCCAGTTTAAGAACCGCTGTTTCAAACAATAAAGAACATTATTTCATTACGTGTATTATTAAAGTTTTGGATTAACAAATGCATAAATTCAATACACAGACCGTTGCTATATGTACCATACGTAACTTACATCGTGGTGTAGTGAATATATATATGTGTGTACAAATTTAAAAAGAAATAAGTGGCTTACTCTAGGGTATTGAAAACTTTTTTCGATTACTATAATTCATATCACATAAACAAATATTAACTTGTTTGTGATTTGATTTTTTTCTTATCTCAAGAATTTTAAAAACTATCCGCGTGAAACGTAATGAGTCCATTGATTAACAATTTATAAACAAGTAGATAATAATATTACTTATGGAGATCTTAAGCTCTGAGTCGGTTAGATTGTATATGTTCTTACTCCAGTTTTAACTTTTTAAAGTATAAAGTTTTTATCGAGTCAATGGTTTAAGAAAGTAAACAATAAAATGGTATTAAAATTTAATTTAAGAACACAAAGTACTTACTCACGTATATCGATTCTCACTGAATTTCAATTATTTATTTATTTATTTTTTTATTTGACCTTTACAGTGATAAATTAGGTTACTATTTTAGTAGAACAAAATTGTATTTGATGGGAAATATGTTATCTCGCGCAATTAAAAAAAAAAATAAATAAATAAATAAAAAGAAGCTTATATCGAATAAATCAGGTGTCTTATAAATAACAACGTTCCGTAGTTATTTATACGTTTTCAATATAAAACTACGTTTATATACTTTGCAAAAGTATAGACGATGAAGTGTATAAAACAAAACAAGTGACAGGATTTATTTTACCCGAAACTAGTATACTAAGTTGACTAAACTATTTTTTTTTATAAGTTAACTTTTTAAGACAAAATCCATACATTTTTAAATATGTACATATAATAGATAATACATATTGAAAACTTAGTGATGCAAGTTAAAAAAATATTGCCCATGGTAGATTATAATATTATATTATGCTAAAATAGTGATAAAAATAATGAAATATTTACTACAATACAATCTTGAGAGTATAATTTCATTGTACCTACTCATATTTTTATATTATAAAATAGCAAATGGATAATATAAAAATAAGTTTCGAAATAATGGTGCCAATACAAAAATATTTTATACCAAAGTTAGACGTGAAATATATCTGAAAATCTGTGTTACCCTGACCTAGATTTTCATATGAGAAAACGTGTCAAGATTTAAACGATAAGCAATTTATCTTAGTTCACCGTAGATATTTGTGAATTATTTTATGTGGACCGGACAAACACTTTTTAGTTAAAATAAAAGATCAAACAAAATTAGTTTCTAGATGGAACTTGAAATGGTTTATATTTTAAATTTAAATGAAATTATACGTTCAATACAATAAACATTAACCCTTGATGATACATTTTATTAACAGATTCGTAAAGTTGAAACGTAATGTTTGACTATCGATTTCACAGTAAAAATAATATAATTTGTTATCCGTATTAATAAAATATGTTATGCGTATTAAATGTTCGACATTTTAAATCTTCGTGGATAATTTTTTTTTATTTAATTTGTTACAATTTTTCAATAATATATAGAAAATATAGAAGACAGAATCAGAATTTTTAAAGTTACCGATAAGTAAAAGAATAATTTGAGTCTAGTATGAAAAAAAAAGGCTAACGCTTAAGTGTTTCGAAAAGTTTGTGACCCGGAAACAATTTCAGGATATTTTAAGCAAACGGTCGTTAAATGGTAATTAGTCCTAGAGAGAATTTAATAATTTGTCTCAATTAAGAGGTAATTTGTAAATGTTTTTCATTTTTCATTATCTCAAGCTTGAAAAATTCAAAACAATTGATTTTAATGCAAAGAACGATTAAGGGGAAAATAATGAAGAAAATAAATGTATTATATTGTTATAATCTTTTTGTTATTCTATTTGTGATTTTAATGGTTAAATTTAAATATATATGTGGTTTATCACCTCTTGAACTGTTTAATACATGACGTGTTCTTTCTAAAACATGGATTAGTTCATTGATTTTATAAAATTAAACAATGCATAGGTACAGTGCCGCAACTACACCAAATTTGGTCCATGTGTAAATAAAATTAATGCCTCCCCCTCCGCATCCGGACTCTACAGAGAAACCGTACCTTTAATTCAGTAGTTCTCAAACTTTTTTTGTTCGTGGAGTCCTTTTGTTCTCAAAAAAATGTACGGAGCCTCGAAAATCAGGAATTCATATTCGAGACAATAATTATCAATATTTCATATTGAGAAAAACACAGTTCAAATTTTAATTTTTTTTTTTATAAAAGTTTGGATTTTGTTTTTTTGTGTGAAAATTGAGGTAATTTTACGTTGTATTGATAAATTGACTTAATTTAATTTTGTGAAAATGCTAGCCAAGGAATGAAGTCAAAATAACCAAATTTTATCAGAAGTTTTAATTGTAAATGGGTGTTACTAAAATGTAAACTTTGTTGCGCGATTCAGGTAATCATACCAGTGTTTTTTCCTCAATAGTTAAAAAATATAATAATATTTAAATTTAATTAATTAAGATATGCCCACGGAGCCTATAGACTTCTCTCATGGAGCCCTAAGACTTAGTGGAGCACAGTTTGAGAACCACTGCTTTAATCAATTGTAACCAAAGTATTTTGAATTTTGATTATACAGGCTGCAAAAAAATTTTAATAATGTATGATAATGTGTACAAAACCAGATAAATCAATTATTGTCCAATCTCCATTAATTATTATTTCAAAATGGTTTTATTTTCTTGCTTTCTATATATTATTTAAATATTATCATTGGGCTCTATTATAGGTTGGGGCCCATGTGTCTGACACACAAAACACACCCGGCTATTGCGGCACTGAATAGTTAGCATAAAGAATTTTAAGCAAACGTTTTTCAGAATGAATAATAGTGATGTATAATAATAATATATTTAATAATAAATTAATAAGTAAATTAATAATAATAATAATGAATAATTATTATCTCTTGGTTTAATCAAATGCTATTTAATTTTAAAAAAATCACATTTTAATATTTCATTATTAACAGGGATTATATACAATATTAAATAATTTCGAATGGTTTTAAATAACCACGATACGAAAAATATTAAAATATTTTTTTGAAGTATGAAATACGTCCATTTTTCAAATAGCACGTGGTTAGACAATTTTTTTTAATATTGTTTAGTTAGGTTCTAAATAATTTGAAAAATGTGTATGTTGTATATAGTGAGTATATTTATCTAATATTTGTTACTGGAAACCCTTATAATCGACCCCTAAGGTGGTTATAGTACAATATCACAGAAAGTTATGAAAAAAATCCATTTCGTTAAATCACTTTCAGTAACTAAAGATTGCTATATTTTGGTTTACAAAAATTACTTTCATCAATAAATGATAATCTATTTCGACTCATTGCTATAAGTGCTGATCTGCTAAATAAATAAGTATTTCATTGATAAAATACAAAATGGGTCACTGGTTATTACAATTATTTAAATATGATCGAGTAACAATACGAACTGAATTCGAATACATTGCTCTTAGTAGGTCCTATATTAGTTATTTCTAAAAGCATAAAATTCTTTAATATTATTACTATGAAGCCAACGATGTTTTTCAACAGAATTTATTTGATTTAAAATGTAGATCTCTTTACTTGATGGATTTAATATGAGGTGGAAATTATAGTAATAAATAAAAAAAAATCACCTGCAAGTGAGTACATTATTTTCGACGATTTGCAGGAGTAAATTAATTGAATCATTCCGTAATCATATTACTCACTAAGACTGCTTTGTACAATCATCATAGTCTT